TTGGCTCGTGGGTGTTTTTTTACTGCACCGACTACGTTGTAATGGCAGACGCGGGAGGTTGACCTGTGGGAGCGCCGGGGACGACGCTCAAAAGAGGAGGGAGGCTATGTAATACGATAGTGGTTTATCCCTCGGTTCTGGTGGGGCGCCACTTTTGTACTTCGAATTAGCCCCCTTGTACCTCGCTGGGTGGGCTGGCCTTTTGGGCCATGCCAATAGCCCAGACGCCTTCTCCGTGCTGAATATATATATTCTGCCCGAGTATTTTGTCTTCTTTCGTCTTAAGGGAGTCCTGGGACGCTACACGGGAGTGGGGAACTCTGGGTTTGTTATGCTAGATTAAAACTACTACAGCAACCACTATAACACTATGACTGTCGGTTCTTGTGAAGAGCCCCTTTTTCTTGGTCGTTCCACTTCACACGGTAGACTGGCCTTGGGGCCATACCAGTAGCCCGAATACCTTCTGCATACCGAATGCATGCATGCACATATTCTGCCACATGACTGCGTCTTCCTCTGCCATTAGGGAAGTCTCAGAGCGCTGCGACTACTTTCCAAAATGCCCTTCAAATATCTTCTAAGGTTAACATAGTATAAATGACTAGTTTCATAGCCATGGAAAAAATTTAAGTTATATCCTAAAGAAGGTTGTTGTGTTTTTTAGAAATGGTAACGAAGTTGCATATTTATATGCTTGGTTAGAATATTCTCTTACGCAGTTTTGTCTTTTTTAACTTTGTGAGGTAATTTCTGCAGCTTTTTCTTTGAGAATTGATTTAATATAATGAGTCACCGTTCGCTCTAGGTGCGCTGGGTCTAAATACTCACAACTTAAATATGGATGATTTTTAAATGATAAATGTTGGTGTGGTTATTTCAAACGAGATTTCGTACGTCACCCTTCGTGTCCTTGTCCCCCTTTTGTTGCTAAAAGCTTTCTTTGGTCGCACTTGCGATCATCTGTGGAGTTCAATTGTTGTTCTGGTTAAGTATCCTAAGCCGTTGCTTCCACCTTTTCCCTATTCTAGCAGCTTCATGTTATTTCTCGTACTTTACTGAGGTTTTTGTTTTCTGGCTTTCATTACTGGATAGTTATTGTGCGTAGCCACTTTCTTTGGCACAATTTTTTGCTTAATAATATTTGTATTAGGGAGTCTCTCTAGCTCTGCCTTTTTAAAAAAATCTTTTTTGGTCTTATTGAACGCTCCAATGTTATCTTTTCGTTTTTAACTTATTGCTCTTGCAGAATATGTCGGATGGACTACCTGACTCCGTGGACTACTTGCATACTGCCTACCAACCACAATTAATGAATAGCTACAGTGCCGTACGTTGATTTTTCCCTTACTCATTTTTCTTGTTTTTTCCTTTTCTGCATATTTTAGTGTACTTATCAGCCTCTCACCGCTCCTAATGAAATGTCGGACAATTTAATCCAAAAAGTCAGTGTTGGTAGCAGTAATTTTTCTACCAATTCTGTGACGCAAGGTGAAAGCGATTCTTTACCGAATACCTGTCCGGAAATCGCGCAGTTTCCTCGTAATTCTTAATGCCTTTTTTTGTTTTTTTTTTTATAAACTATCACCGATGTGGTCTATTAATCTTTTTTCTGATAGCTGTTCAGTCTATTGCCCATGGTTCTCAAATTTCCAACGCACCTCACTCAAACGTGTATAGCTCATTCACATCACCGACTCTTTGTTCAAATCAAGTTTCGGTGCAAGAACAGCAGCAGCAACCAGAACGTTTTAGTTTACAAGCATCTGAAAGCACTTACACGCCGAAATTTGACACCTCCATTTCTTCTCAAGAGGCGCAAACTTCGGGTCCCGTAGAACTTTCTCCATCTAATTGGGCACATTTTAATCCTGAATTTCAACGATATCAACCGTCCACCACTTATGCCCAGCAGCAAAATTCCCTATTACCTCAAAGCCAAAACGTAGCATCTGTCATACAACCCCCCACCTCCTACTTTTCGCCTCAGGCCTACCCCACTTCTACATCCCAAGACTCAGTAGCGCCTTGCGCTAGCACCCAGCAAGCGCAATCCCAAAATTCCTCGGAATTTGCACCTTCTGCTCATCCGCTGCATTCTCTTTCGTCCTTGCGTGCGCCTCCTCCACAAGCTCCTTTAAGTTCATTGCAACCTTATTGCTCTTCGCAGCCCTGCGCTTCTTTATCAGGCGCCTCGCAACCTCGGCAACAATATTTTTCGCCTTTGCAAGAGCCTTTCTCGGCAAATCAATCGCCTTTATCAAGCTCTCAAGCTACTCGACCTAAGACTATGTCACAGTTTCATTCACCTCCCCAGTTGCGGTCCCAGAATCAAGCATCTGCTTCTTCGACGCACCCAACCTATGCCCAGTTCGCGAATTCGGACTACTTGCAGTCGTCCTCACAGCCAAGACATCCGCAGATGGTGCAAAGGTATCAGACCACTTCTGCACGGGCCGTGCAGGAACATGAGTCTTTCGTTAGTGTCTCTTCTCAACACTTGACTGATAGGACGCCTGGAGCGGCTCTCTCCTCTGAAGAATGGAATGCACTTAATGGTGCAGTCAGTTTGTTGCATGATTCTAATTTCCTACCCAACGATGGGCCAGAAAAGCCTCGTTGTCCTAATCTGTCAACACAGGCAAGTGCCTATGGTAAAAATTACCCAAGAATGTGTTTTAAGTGGTGCTTTACATTGTCCAGTTCTTATTTATCCAGTGGCACTAATGTAGATGATTATTATGTTGTTTTCAGCGCTGCATGTAAAACTGCTCCCTTCGCTAATATGTGTTGCTTAGTACTTCGAGACAAGTTCAGTTCTCTCCCACTTTACATTGAGCACCTCATTTGTAAGGGTATTTTTGGGGCACTAGTAGCCTAAATGTAAACGTATTGAATGGGAGATTTTCAGGTGCGGATAATTTTATTTTCAAAGCCTAACCGTTTCGCCTGTTATCTCTACTTCTACAGTTTTGATTCGGAAACCGTGTTGTCTTGTAGGTCAATTGTCATCCAGACTATATACGCTGTACTTTGACCACCATACCAGTAACGAGTAAGCTGCAGTCCAAATGTCGTTTGCCTCTGGGGCTCCTAGTGCATCCATTTCGCGATGTAAATGACTTACCCGTTATTCAGCCCTCGGTGATTGTGCGCTGTCGGTCCTGTCGCACATACATAAACCCTTTTGTCAAGTTCACCGACAATTGCCGCCGCTGGCGCTGCCCAGTGTGTTTGTTGTCAAACATAGTGCCGGACGACTTCTTTTTCGATCCCGCTACCCAAACATACGGCGATCCGTCGCGCAGGCCGGAGATTCGCTCCGCCACTGTCGAGTTTATTGCGCCTTCGGAATACATGTTGCGGCCGCCACAGGCAGCCACCTACGTTTTTTGTCTAGAGGTCTCGCGGGCCGCTGTGACTACGGGCTACCTTGAGCTTGTTTGCAATTTGATTGCAGATCAGCTCATGAAAATACCTGGTGGCTCAAGGCGACAGGTTGCCATCCTTACCTTTGACTCCGGTGTGCAGTTTTACGTTCTTTCGGGTTAGTTCAAGCCACTTGTTTCTTCGACATTTATACTATTTTTTTCCACAATGGACTGATTCGTTCCATGAAAAGTATTTGAAGATAGAAATCGCTCCGTTAGCATTAGTTTTGGCCTTGAAAAGTAAATATGTCAGTCAGTACACATAACTGAGACTTTGCTCTCGTTTTTTGCTCTTAGGCAAGAAAATGCGAATGGTTATCTGTCAGGATCTCTCCGAGGTGTTTTTGCCTGATTTGAATGGTATGGTCAATCGGATCAACGACTGTGCACAGCCGATCATCGACCTTCTTCGTCAACTCCCAAGCGAGTTTGCCAACACCCAGGCAACTTCGAACTGCCTCGGTTTCGTCCTTCAGGTTGATTTTTTCCATTGCTTTCAAAACACGAGATTCACTTACTCACCATCAAGCAAGCATCTTTACATTCGATGCACTAAAGCATCTAATCTGCACATGCAGACATTTTACTGTCTTGTAAGATGCACTTCATCGCAATCGTTTCTCGTTGGCATGGGTTCGAGAATTATCAGAATCTTTGAATTTTTCACCTGTTATTCATTCACACGTGGCATTTGTACTAATGTGACATATGAAACACAATGCCAAACAATTCATTAGTGTTAAAATGTTTGGGTTTCTATGTCCAGAAAAATAAATGTAGAAGGTAGAAAAAAGTTCATGTGCCTATTGGACTAGTAAAGTCAGTCCTACACGGCTTCTTGTACCAGCAGGGTTTAGATCCGTAGGTGTAACGTTTTAAGGCTTGTAGAACTGACACCATCATCGCCATTTTGCAAGTTTAAACGCTATCGGAACTTCGATAGAAAGTCCGTGATATGTCATTGCAATTCGTTTCGCCAATTAAGTGTATTTTTTACTTCTGACTGCACAATACCACGCGTCGTGCAGTATCCCGCGGTACTTAATTTTGGCATGAACTCAGCTAAACGCATCAATGTAGGTTCTAAAGCTCAATTTCCAAATTCAAATGTATGCTTCTGTAGTATTCGGAATCACAAGCCTTCTAGCGCTTCAATTGCTTAACTTCGTTTAATTACTCGGTCATTTCATTTGTACCTTCGCTTTACAGATGGAGTAATTCTCTCTAAATAATTGTGTTCGATAAAAATTTACCGAAATACTGAGATGCAAAGGCCTCCGCGTCGTTGTACACAACTCTGCGTGAAACCTTTCAGATAAGGCTGTGCTTTTGCTACATGGTGCTAATTTTTTGATACTTTTCTACTTGGTTTTTTCACGTGCACACATGCTTTGAAATCTGGTATTTGTGGTGCATATCTGGCTGCTCCGTTCGCCCTTGATCATCCTTCCTCTTCGCTGCAGACGGCATTGAAGCTGATCGGTGGCACTGGTGGTCGCGTGACGGTATTTAACACCAGCATCCCTTCTGTGGGACCGGGTGCATTAGAGTGTCGAGAAACACACGAAGATCTCACCAAACCCGAAGCGGAGCATCTTCGTCCAGCATCCGATTTCTATCGAACTATCGCTCTCGATTTTGTAGCCGCTCAGGCGAGTTGTCTTCCCATGATTTCTCAAGACGGCTTTTTAGTGCCTATTTAACCCATTATTATACATAAGTTATTACATTGCAAGATATTCCGATGTTTTATAGAAATCGCAAGTCTACTCATGTGTTTTGTCCTTTGGCAGATCTCGGTTGATTTGTTTATGTTGAACTCCAATTACTGCGATATCGCGACTATCTCAGGTGTAGCGCGCTTCTCCGGCGGCGGAGTGTACCACTATCCCAACTTTCACTACGATCCTGAAGCACAGAGGCAGCCGGTCGGAGGGGGTGATACGGGTGGCCATCAGGAGCAGAAAAGGAAATTGGCTCCGTATGAGCTGTGTGATTATGTGGAGGTCGAGAGCCTCCGCAGGGATCTTCTACGTTATCTGATAAGGAAAATCGGCTTTGAGGCTGTTCTCCGCCTGCGCTGCACCCGAGGTCTTACTGTTCAGGTAACGTGACAGCTTTTTACTAAGACGTGACGCGTTGCAAGCCAAGAAATGTAGATTTCTTCACTAATGTTGGGTTTGTTCTGTTCGGGTTTCGACTTCCAAGCGCAGGTAAACAAAAGGTCTTCGATTGTGTGAACTATGATTACACAATCTACTATTACCCATAATCAGAAGATAATGACGTTCGGAAAAAAATCTGTGAATCCTCCCTCTGGAAGACTGTGATCGTATTTTGATCTTCAGTGCCTCTATTAGGTGCAAGTGAAATGAACGCTCAGCCCCCCATAGGTCCTATCATTTTGCTTTAATCAGTCACGTGCTAATCGGTATCTTGAAGTCGTCCTTTACACTAAATACCATCCAATGAAACCCTTTTCCCTACTTTATTGCTCCATGACTTAATTATTTAACACTTTCCCCTTTTAGAACTTCTACGGCAACTTTTTCATGCGATCAGTTGACCTCTTAATCTTGCCAATTGTGAACCCAGATGCAGGCTACGCCATGCAGTTGGAAATAAATGAGAGACTGGACAGTTTTTCAACAGTTATATTTCAGGTTTGTTGTCTCACTTTCCTGCTTGTAAAGCAACCTCACTTTTGGGCTATCCGAAGATTGTCATCCTGTTCCATTTGCCTTATAGTAATAGGTGAAGTCAGTAATTAGTCACAAATCTGACATCGCCTGGCTGACATAGTAAACAAGGTCGTATAGATTGCGCTTAAACATGTTCTCGGCTTAGATATGACTTAAGTTCGTCGTATAATGTAAAAGGTGTGGTCGATACATATGATTAGCAAATCTATCACGTATTATAGTCAACGTGACTCACTGATTTGCAGTGCTCCTTCGTTGTGTTCTACGCCCACTGTTTTCACCCTAATGCTTGATGTCGTGTCGACAGGTCGCACTGCTATACACCTCGGCCTTCGGGGATCGTCGAATTCGTGTGCATACCCTGTGTATCCCAGTGACCAATTCGCCGGAGACCATCTTCAACCACGCGGATGAGGGTGCCGTGGCCTGTTTGGTGGCCAAGATGGCAGTGGAGCGCACCATCTCCTCGAGTTTGAGCAACGCTCGTGAGGCTCTCACTACGGTGATGGGAGACATTCTTTCCGCTTACCAGAACGAGCGTAACAGAGGCACCTCGCACTCTTCCCTTTCCGACATCTGTCCCGCCTCTCTCCGCCTCCTCCCCTCCTACCTGTGTGGCGCGTTGCGCTTCGCAGCGTTTAGGAACCATATTTCCACTTCACTAGATGTTCGCTCCGGGGCTTTAGAGTTACTCATTGGTGCTTCCACGCATCGCGTGCTCTCCCTCATATATCCTCGCTTGTACGCTGTCAACTCCCTCATAACCGAGCCCGTCTGTGGCAAGAACGCCACCCTTGCGCAAAAGTTCGCTTCTCTCTCTCTAAAAGACGAGCCTTTTGTTCCTCTGCCGTGCCTACCTTTGACAGGAAAATCAATCACGCGCGACGGTGTCTTTCTTCTCGATACGGGCAGTTTGATCCTTCTACTAGTGGGCTATGGCATCCCAGCATCCGATCTGCAATCCCTCATCGGCTACTCAAATATAGAAGAGTTGACAGTGGAAAAGTCGTTGACAAAATTGGCCGATTTGCCGGAGGGGGAGAAACCGCCACCACCCAGAAAGCGTCTCCAGGCGCTCGTTAAGTCCATCCAACGCGACCGGTCACTTGGAACCGCACTTGTTTTGATCCGGCACGATGTGCCGGAGCCACTGAAGAGCCGCTTCATCAATGCACTTGTAGAAGATAGGACATCAACGGCGCCATCGTACCCAGAGTACGTGCAAATGATTCTCAGTGGACGGTCTTAGCAGTTCTCACTTTTTCTGCTCCTGTCTCAATCACGGTCCCACCAAGCCATCACAATTTTGACTTTGTCTTATTTCCTGTTTATGATATTATCTTGCTCCTGTTGATGAATGTCACTCTCTCTAAGGAGAAGTGTAGCGGGTGACCGATTTTCCTTCTCTACTGTAGAATTCTTGTACGGGCCGCTTGCACGTGTGCACCGTTAAATGTTAAAAACGGATGTCTTTCCTGGCTGCCGATACTACCACTTTTAATTTACTATCAAATTTTCTGGCTAGAGACAAATGCAGTCGTATCGATATTTAGTTTGTCTCATTTAGACTTGACTTCCTGCCTCAGCACATGCAGAGCTGACGGTTGGGACAGTTGAATGATGTTCGGTCAATTGGTGACATAAAAGGAATGTAATTACAAACACTATTTTTTGAGGGGGGGCGGTCGAGGTCGCCTTTGACTCACGTAGGCGCTCTTTACTTGCTTGAAGCGGGGAAGACAGAAATAACAGTGATAGTTGGTTGATCGAGCATACCGGAGGCTTGGGACCGGGGGCATGCTTGTTTCAATCGATCTTTAGACAAGGCGGTTCTGGTATGCAGCTTGTCGTGGCGGAGTACCCGGTGTGCGCTAACATTGTGGAACGCGATGCAAGTGATGGGGATATCCCACGCCGACCCCTTCCTCTTAACCCTTTGACATTTACCGAAGGGCAGCTGCCCTATTGGTGCATTGAGGGGACCCCACTGAATTTTGGTGCACTTTTACCGAAGAAGTACAAGTTATAACAGTTTACATACTCACTGCTGTTGCCTCAAAGCAAGCCTGGATATAGCTTGGGTGAGACCACTTTCTTGTAAGCACCCTAAAGGAGTGCAGAAAATTCGCAGCGAGATGAGGCCCCTATACGCACTTTTGACCCTGTGTCCTCCTTTAGTCATATCACCAATTTTATATCCTAATAACGTATAAAGTATAATAAATCATACTTTTACAAGCAGCGAGGAATTTTCGCACGGAGAAGGACGGAACTCCACATCGTCTAGTGACTTATACGTAATTAAAAATTCGTCTTCCGGTTTGGAAGACAAAAATGAAAATATCTGTAGTAATCTCCAATAAAAGCAATGGAAACAGTACGTTTGCATAGATTCATATGGTGCGGACTTATTTGGGTTCAAATTGTGCGGGAATCTACAGGATGGCTTGTAAATAAACTTTGGCAGCAGCATTGTTCACAAATGCATTTGATGATCTAAGTCAGTAATGGCTAATCCATCAATTATCATAGTGAGCGCACCAGAATTCTAAAGGAGGACAAAACTACGAATCTACAGGGGTATGACTTCTCTTAGTATTCGATGACAAGTGAATCGAATTAACATCGTCCCGGAATGTGTGAGACTGGTAGTCGACAAGCGCCACCTCTCTATCGCCTAATGTAACATTAAGCTTAAATGGATTCGGCACATCCAAACTTCCATCATTTGACCAAAATTTTGATTGGACTAAAGGAGACGGAAGGAATCTCGTCGCTATGCGGCCCCGGAAACATGATTACCTTCAGTGGAGGTTGGCAAGACGAGATGCTATGAAAGTTGAAAGACCCTGAAATACAAGGTTTCCTTATAACAGTCAACTAAGTTATAGAGAACATTATAAATAGAACGTGGAAGTAAAACCCCTTTTCATAGAAATGCACCTAAACGCAAATCGGCATGGCAGATGCAGCTATTCTTCCAGAAGCGCTGACTGTACATTTTACGTGGTTTCTTTCCCCTTCGGGAGTGGCTTGAAGCGCTAGAAGTAAATAAATACCCAGGCAATACGTGGGCACGCGTCCATATGCTTTAAACCTCTAGAGGAAAACCAAAAACTGTAAAATTTAGGCAAATAGTACTAAATTTTGGTTTTGCTTTGATGAACATAATTGTGTTCTGTATTTTCTGTCCAAAATTTCCGGTAGACAATCTAGTCATGAGTGATTTTGGTTTTTTTAGCCGTATGTATAGTTATGCAAGCATTTCAGTATCCACAGCCTCTACCCACACTCCTCGGCTTTACCTTTGAGCCGTGTTATTAATCACCTAGCTTTTCAGTACATCAACAATGTGCATTCTTCCGAACTGCCTTGCTTCAGTAGGACTTGAGTGCACAAGAGATGATCAAAGGCTCGGTAAAGTTCAAACGAATTAGGCTATCCAGAGACAGCACTACTAGGGTACCTCAAAAATATGCGTTTTAAGAAGTACACGGCTCGTTTAGTCCAAGCCAATGACAATAAAGATTAATGTTTTCGAAACGTTTGACCTCACTTTTACGACGCCGCCAGGTATAAGTACCTGAGGTGTACGTTGTTTCCTGTTATTGATTGGCAAAAATACCGAAATTGAGGTAGTAAATTGTTCAGTGTGCCGTGGCAAGATGCCCGAAGTGCTAAATTTAATTCAGTTTGCCGAGCGTTTACAGCAGGATCTTCGAAATGTCGTGAACGAAACGAAAAGAAAATACGTACCGATAAAAGACGTGAGTCCGAAATCTATTTTTTGTGACACTTTAGAGCGCTGAAGCACAAATAAAGCGTTTGAAAGAGTTAATTAACGGAAATCAGGATATTAGAACTTGTAAGAATCTCATTACGATGCGTTTATCGTAGACTTGCTGGAGAACAACGTGGAACTCGTCAACCCTCTTATTAAAGGTTGTGAAACTGGTCAGCCTAAGTTGGTTAATATTTGTTTGACGGCCTTGCAGCGTTTAATTACGTCCCAAATGCTGACGGAAGTACGTCGAAAGTTTAGGCTTCTTATTGCTCAAGTATTCTGTTGAGTCTTTGCTGAACGTTATAAGCACTTTGGTGGATGCAGAACTCGAAGAACTCAAACTGCTGCAGACTACTATTCTTCTTGTCACGACAAATCATACGTTATCGGATATGTCTTTGTCACGGGTTCGTCTGTAATCTTGAACTATTTTGTGCAATCTATATTTAGACCTTATATACTTACTTGTAATTTTAAATATTTAGCCACCCTTTTCGTAACTCAAAGATTTGTTTTCTATTTTTCGGTAATCTCAACTACCATCGTACTTGGTTTGGTCTTTTGAGAATACGATTCCTATGTTGATACGAAACCATGCATTTGTCTTGTTATCGTATGGCAAAAGTCTTTTTTCAACGCTTTTATCAACCTGATTTTTGGTGTATTAGGCATTGGGAATATGCTTGAGATTGCACAATAGCAAGACAAGCACCGTGGTGAATACAGCGGCCGCTGCGATTCGTCAATGCACTGGTGCTGTTTTCGACCATATTAATAGAGATAGCTTATCTTCTTCAGCTTACGAAAATGTCCAAGGTGACTTTTGATGATGTTCACTTAATCGCAGTTTGTTTGTATTTTCAATGTCATGTATGCAACAACTCAACTTTGCTTAAATGCTTGCGTTTCTGATACTCATCCCCACTTCGAATATATGGATGTACTTCGTGTTTGTTTACTTTTGCTACTTCAGTACTTTTACAGTTCTCTTTTCATTCAAAAAGTTAATGAAATACTATTTTGTGTTTTTGCTTTATGAGTGGTTCAAAAATCAGCTTTTATCTCATTTCCCAGGCGACAAGGAGACGGATATGTTTAGATTCACTCCTGCGTCAAAAAGCGCCTTTTTCTTGTTTCAAGTAAGTACTCTTTATTCTTGTTTCCTAATGTTTCTATGCACTTTTCGGATTCCAATACCTTACATTACCAAATAATTTCATGCATTCCCAAAAGTAGGTTTTTTTAATGAGTAGATGTGGGTACAATGAACACATCGTTATCCTATACATTACAAACCTTACTTATGCCACAAATCTTACTTTTTTCAAAAGCAGTCGAGGTACTTCGGAATTTTACAAATCCGGTTAATCAAACTCATGATCTCGAAAGAACGCGGATCGTCCTTTTCGTTTTTATAGATTTCGTAGGGGACATTACTTAAGATATAAAAGCAGTCCATTACTAAACTAGTTCTTCAATAGTTCTGTTTCTTAGCCGCACAGATATCAATTCAGTGGATATTCACGCTTTTTCTAACCAAGTTCTTCTAGTAGCAGCTTTTTATTTCTTTGAAACTAACAAGTTCCGCTCACGATCTCGTCGCTTTACTCCATCCTTTGAACTTCGCCTGTATTCTGAAGTCACCTTTGTCGTGAACAAAATCGGCCCTACTGGAGGGAAGAAATCCAATTTAGGTTCTTTATCTACCAGTGATTTGAGACTTGACACCAAGAATGATTATCGGGATCGAGGAAGTTTGGCACGGGCTTAATACAGTTTTTGTTCTCTTTCAGTGCTTAAATTTAGAATGGCCCGGGTAAAATCTCTATCCTACCCTTTTATTCGAGTTGCCCTCCTCTCTCATACAATTCTGTTACTGTAGCCGGAAAGTTGGAACTGTGGTTTTTTGGATAATTTGCTTCGGTACTCATCATGGCTAGCTAGCATATTGTAAAACCCAGTCGTCTAGGTGTCTAACTTATTCAGCCGCATTCACTTCAGTTATTAAAGGGAGATTGGACCTCCACTCCCTCTGTTCGTTTCTTCTCGTTGTCATTTCTAGTCTGAGAACCGAAGCGTTTTGGTAAGTATCCATCGGCCTTCTGACAACTGTCAGGCCTTTGGTGTGTGTTATTAATGTTTACCTTTTTAATGTTTTGGGAAGCATCTAAGCTAGTGCATTATTCCTACAATTGTATTTTTAAAGGCGTAATTCGTTGTTAAATCTGTCTTATCCTTTCCTGAGATTTTAAAAGCAATTGGTATTCTTTGATATTGCCTACCAAAGTTAATAATTGTTTAGACTATGAGAATCCTGCATTACTTTTGAGATCTTTTGATAGGGGATGTCTTTCTGCACTACATTCTCGTTAATTAGTGTCACATTGTCATCATACTGGCCCCTATTTTGTGGGAAGGGTGATATTCAGCCGTGCTTCGCCTATGTAGACAATTTGATACAAGCTACATGTCGCCCTATGTAATATTGTTTCATAATTTGGAATTCTTTTTTGCTTTGGCCAATACAAACCCAAACTAGGTATTTTTGACGTTGAATATAAGCAGAATTAAACATTTTTTTCAACTACCATTGAAATATATTCAAATTTTTCATCAATGAGATCTTATTGCATACATACTTATGACTTGATATTTCTTGGTTGAATTATTGGTTCGCATATTTTACTACTGCTGTTTGACATCCTTATACATAGCTTTGATTTCTGTTTACTAATTATCTTCTTACGTAAGTCACACCTTTTTAGAATAGGAGACAAGGTGACTTTATGCCAAGATGTCTCACACATCGCTTCCTTTAATACCGAAAAGGAGTTAGATCAAGTAACGAAGTAGTTTTACCTTTCCTTAGGACCTCTGCCTTCTGACGTCCAATGATATTCCCCACTGGTTGCAGGGCATCGAGTCTATCTCCCCTCTCTTGGGTTTGGAGTTGATCGAATCAGTTCTCCTTAACTACCGCAGTCTCTTCGCGAAGGTAGTTTATCATCTTCTTCCACAGCATATCTGCAACTTGTACTAAGAAGAATTGTTAACCATTATTTTGAATCATTTGGTAAATATTCCTCACCTCCAATATGTAGGCTTATCTGATGAGGGTTTGTAAGTCTTTAAATATTGTTGTATCTGTTTCTCATTATTTTTAATCACCAAGTTTCCCGTCGCTTCCCATTGAGGCGATCGATCTGCCAGTCGTAATATGTTTCTTTAAAGCGCACATTTAGCTCTAAAGTAAAATCACCATTGAGGCTATTTTTGCCTAAAAAGTCAATGTCCCATGTAGTTTTGCTGAGGAAATTTCACCTTATGGTCCCAGAGGCTGACGGTCTTGGTGTGGAGTAAGCTGAATTTGTAATCTAGGCAAAGGAGTTCCACTACCTGTTAAAGGAACGGGTATGCCCACTAATCATCAAGTTAATGGCCTCTGGTCTAACCACGGACGGGCAGAGGACCGCGGTGCGAGACGGCAGTAGCGACGCATTCAGCGGTGGTGGCGGTGGCAGCACCTACGCCGGACTCTCCGATTTTGGTATCAACGTCCGTCTCAACCGCATCATCACTCTCCTTTGCTCAAGTTACTTTGAGTGCCTTGTAAGCTCATCCCTTTTGTATGTACGAGTACCCTTTGTTGTTTATATCACTTCAAATGAGTAAAGTGGCCTCGATCCTTCGAATGTATGGAGATTACTTTCATTTTCAACGTATTTGACGCATTTGAATGCTGCATTCGTCTCGGTTTTATCCACTTGGGACGATAATTCATGCCAATAATGTGTATTACCGCTGATTGGGAAAGCTGCCATATGCAGGCTGTTCCTTTTTTTGTTGGTCAAAATTTGGTAACCTTGACCTGGGTATTACTACCCGAACTATATCAACCGAATTGTAAGTATTCGTTTCAATTTTGATTTATTGCTTCTGATTCTCATGCATATTGCCTCCAAATATTACCAGTTAAGTAAATTTTAGTAAACGGGAAAAGCTTATCGCAAACGAAGACACGAGCGTCGAATTTGATTTTATTGTTGAACTAATACGTCTATTCCCAGGTTAATAGTGTCATTTAACCAAAATTCGGTAATTTTACTCTAACAGCAGTCGTTTCTCTCTTTCGTCACAGAACACTGAATGTGAGATGCTGATATCGACTATAGTGCGGAATGCCGAAAACGAACAAAATACTTGGCGTCGAGCTCTCGCCTTGGAGGTCATATACAAGATTATCTCCCAACTGGACCTGCTTGTGTAAGTATTGCCATTAACCTTTGCCTTTTTCCCACCTTCCTATTCACCAATGTGAGATCCCTTCATTAGAGTCGCAAATTAGGCAAAGACTTGCAGCAATTTTTTGAATTACCGAAAATTATCCTAATCGGTACGAACAGTACTTCGTGAAGTTTGGACATAGTGGATCTTTTATCTGCTTACACGCCTACAATGTGTGCTGTTTGATGCAACGACCTTTCATTTTCATACTACTACTGCTTATTGGCTAAATATTACCCCCTCACTTCAATTCATTTTTGTACTGTTTAGTCGAATGCGAGCTAAACTTTCTGTCACTTTTGTTTGTTATATTATTCGCGTTGAAAGCACTTACAAAAACCCTTAATTTTCACGTTTACTTTTTCTTCTCAAATTCATCTTTGGAATAGGAAAATATGCACGACATTCGACATGATGGATCCACCCTCTCGGGTTTTCTTCGGACTCGTCACTACTGTGGGTGGTTTCGTCCAATCAACCCTTCTGACACCGCATGGCTCCCGTAGGCCAATTAATCTATTTTCCTCCATGCAGTCATCCCATTTGCAAATGGGTTTTACACTCATAAAACCAGTAGCAGTCATTGCGGATAGCTTTACTAACTTCCCTTCCATTTACTCGTTTGCCACAAATTTTTTACTCTTCAGACCTAGAATCTACAGGAACCCTTTTAGGAGCATCTTCTGGGCACCAACTTCCACAAAAACCCTCATTCCTATACAGGGGAGTTGGCCATGTAATCGCTGATGCACAAAAGTTGGCTCTGTAAGTTCTGTCGAGACATTTTTTCCTGATCTTTCTAATACTACTTTAAAAATTATAGGTTGGAGGTTTTAGACAGACTCGAAGCACCGTCTCTTCCAGAGGGCTATTCTCTTCGATTGACCATCAGCTGTCTACTGCAGTTTGTTTGGTCCCTTCAACACTTGATTCAGCAGGCTGGGTCATCAATGGAAAGTGTTTCTGCAAATAACCCCCCAGTCGAATTTGAAATGCTAAAAATTTCTTGGACTGCATTGCTACCTTCTCTTTCTCTACTGCTCGAGGCTTGGTGAGTACAAATATATATTTTGCTACTCAAATTAGTTTCAGTAGCAAGCAACTTATTTGGTCTTAATTAGTTGACTGTTGTAGCCATAACCATTATCCCTGCAGTAAATTGATGCTAAATGAGCTCGTGATTGTATTGGAAACTTCTGA